CGGCAATCACCATGTCTAAATTACAAAATTACTTTATTATTAATTTTTATTCGTTTAATTAATTCATTTTTAAACAAAATATTTCCAAGGTATCGGATTTAATTGTTGTATACTTCTAATGTGGTATATTTTTCATACAATAATAAAATATGTGGGATAATATATTGGCAGTAACACCTTTTTTCACACCCCTTGGGGTTTAGATTTTGAATTAACTGTATAAATTATTATATATACGGTATACATGTACAATGCCGGTATTTATATACCCATTTTGATAATTCAGAACTCGTTGTATACCTTTTACCAGTCCATAAATAAATATAATAATATAGGTAGTTAAGTGACAGCAATCGTGTATAGTTTATTTATTTCTTAACTAATAATAGGTACCTACATACCTAGACCTATTATTATTGTTATTTTATGCTTTTTTATTGATTATTTGTCTTCTAAAATCTAATTGCACATAATATACATAAATACATGTGAATATGTGATATTAGTCACATTTAATCCATGTCCACGTTCATTAACTGTATGCAATGGCGTAATTAGGAATTGGTTCTGGGGTAGGATATAGGTTTTTATAATCATAGGCTATGCCCCCACCCCCAACTTGTTCGTTAACTTTCATGCATCATAATATTACATTAATTTATTACTATAAATTAAATTAGGTAAATGGTATATGGTAATTCAAAGATAGTAAAGTAAACAATTAAATTAAATTAAATGTATGATTCATAATATGAAGTCCATCTTTCTTTTTATTTTTTGGTAAAATGTCTAGTATGTTGTATGTCTTCAGGATTTAGTATTATACCCCGAATCCCGGTGCACTATCAATATTATAGTCTATTTAAGAGTTCTTAATAACAGTTTTAAATTTTAAGGTTGTTATTTTTATTTTTTAGAGAATTTTAGGATTTTTGAGGCATTTTTAAATACTTGGAAATTTTATTTTAAGATTTTTACGTGCATTTAGATGATTTTTATATAAATTAGAAAAATTATAACTATATACAGAGGTAAATAAATTAACGACCTAAACCTATATAAACAAAATAACAAATTTATATAAGAATTTGTAACAAAATTATTAAAAAAAAAAATGTAGTGTATTAAGTACTGCATGACATATAAGCATTTTATTCAGGCATTTTATTCAGGCATTTTTAGAGTTTTTTATGTATTTTACAAAAATAATAATTATTAACAATATGAACAGTTTTAGTTTATTCTATGTTTATAGTTTATACTAATAAGATTAAGAAGGATACGTCTTAGGTGGTTAAAAATTATATCAGAAGTCGCAAGCTCTAAGTTTTTATCATTTACATATTTTAACTGTGACAGTAGATAACCATTGTCGATTAATTTTTATTTAAAAATCTTAAAATAATAGTCAAGTGCTCACAGATATATGCCCATATCCCCCCCCCACAATTACACCACTGCCTGTATGGCTATATAACAAGATATTGACAGTTTGTAATGTACCTTTTTTTAAAATTAAATGTTGTTATGGATAAAGTCGATGTATGACGGAGAACAATAATATAAAAATAATCAACTTAATTCATATATACATATATATATACATTATACATGTATGATAATTGAACCGTTAATAGATATACGTCCGTTAAAACGAAAAATTCACCCTCTCTTTCATAATCAATTATATTCCCTACATATAGTACATTATAATATAAAGGTGCATTCTCTTTCAATCTGTCTATGACTACAGCCGGATAGGGACATACTAATTTGTTTCTGTTATTAATAATAATCGTTCTTGTAACGTGAGTATCACCATTCACCATTCCGTTTACAGACACAATATAAATGGAGTACGTTAAACAAATACGTACAGAGTGACTGAGTGAGTCACAAAAATATTTTCTACCGTGTGCATTGAGCTAACTTATGTACATAAATAAAAGTATATTGTACGTATATATAGCGATTGCCATATAGGTGGTAATGTGAAACTTAAATGGTAACCAATATCATAACGCTACTGTTTATTAAAGATTCATAATTGTATAATATAACACGCGAATTAACTTAAATCAGCTAATAAAAAAGGTTGTACAGTACTATACAAGCAGAGACCGGCTATTTATAAGTAATCAACAAATAATAATCAAACACGCAGTTGCAAGGTAGGTATATAAATCTCGTTTACCTTATGAGATGAAAATTCGTTTTATAACTTATATGTGTATAATGTAGCAGTATACCCATAATGTGTGTGTGTATAGTCAAAATAGAGCGGAAATCAACACGCTAGCGAAAAGAATTAAAACAAGCAGTCGTCGACAATTTTCAGGCAATATGCCAATATAGTTTTACATGCGTGATGTGCGAAATGCGAAAATGATGTAATATAAAATACAATACGCGTTTAATATATACTATGTAAGCTTATATTTTAGCGTATATATAAGAAGGTAATAAAAAAAAAAAAAAATGATTTTACCAGGTGAACCTCCGAACACAACCTACAATATAATATAGAAGTGTCGTCACGAAAAGACTAAGTTTTTATACTCGCATAAATATAATAGATATCAATCTTACCAAGTCGTTACTCGTATTGAAGGCTTTAAGCTAGGTATTTGTTTTCTCTTTCTCCACCAGCGAAATAGCAAATTTTCGTTTAGCAATTTTATTAAACTTGTAATAATGTTATAGCTTTAATATTAGTTTGAATTGACCAATCATCAATCTTTTGTTCCATATTTTTATTAGCATCCATAATAGCAATGAGTATGTAAAATCAGTGGCGCACACTGGAGGGTTCAAGGGTAGCAGTTGCTACCCCTGATTTTTTTGGTAGGTGGGTGGGTGGACCCCCTGGCTCCAAAATATTTACATCATGAAAATTCTATTACGTATAAAAATATTGAAAATAAACTATTGAATAATTATAGGCTATAGCCATTAGTCTATTAGCCAATATAGAGGTAACCGAATCAATTTGCTACCCCTATTTATTTTTTAGTGTGCGCCACTGTGTAAAATATTAAATTTTAATAAAGCTTATAATATATACTACAGACAAATTTAACAATTGTAAAAAATCCAACATGCATAAAAATATGATGGTTTGACTTTAAGTTTGATAACAGGTAAATTTACAATAGTATAATACTATAGGCGAATTTCCTACATGTTGTACGTCTATAACTTTACTTACAGATCTTATAAGACGGAGAAACCACATGTGGATGTGATGTCGTCTGCGGGTGATAATGGTTTATACACATCTATTGCCAGATATCACGAGCTTGTTAATAATATGGTTCATAGGTACCTATATAACTTAATGAACTTTTGAGACATAAATAATGCATATAATTAATATGTACCTATACATACTTAACCAACTTTTAGAGAGTAAACATTAAACAACTGGTATTAATACATATATAAAGATTATGTACCTACAATTTATTTGACGTACTCGCAATGAAACTAATAACGACGGTGGTTAAATATTATCGTAGTTTATAAATGTTATCGTACCTATTACCTACCTAATCTAAACTTTAATATGTATGTATAATAAATAAATGTCAAAAAAAATGTAATATTATATACATACAATTTTTCACCTCTCTTTAATTCGAATCAATTTGTTTTCCCTCGATTATTCCAACACTCGGTAAATCGAAAACCTCTATAAATCGAATTTTTAACTCGGTCCCCTGAATTTCGATTTATCGAGTGACTACTGTACACACTCATCATACCGACCGAGTGACCGACCGGCGAGCGTTTAACTCTTGCCATTGATTAGAAATACTAATATTAAGGATAAACGCTAGTAGTACGCTTCTAAGTTTAACACAATCACTCCGTTCGCACATCGACAACGATGATGATAATAGTAATACAAATAATATATTATTATAATAAAACAACGTCGTGGTCGCATCGCCGGCCGTGGGTGGTAGGTGCACTGCACTGGTACCTATATGTACACATGTTACAAAAATACAAGAAAATATGTAATACATAAAAAAAGTGTAATATTATGTACGCAGACGATGGTGTGTGAAAAGAGTAGGGCCGTGGCGGTGTCCGCGATATATTATAAACACGGACAACAACAACTGGTCCGGCCGGTCTCGTCGCCGACACCGCCGCCCGTCACGGCAGGTCGTAGCAGCGGCGGCGGCGACAGGCGGCAGCGTTGTATACGACGCGAGCGTCGCGGTCGTCGTCGGCGGCGAGCGGGAGAGACGATGGGGCAGACGTTCCGCCGGCCCGACGCGCGAACCCGGTCAGTTGGGTTAGGTTAGGCGAGAAAACCAGTTGGCGCGGCGCTCGCACCACTATCGGTTATTATTATAATAGATACACGATATTATTATTGTATATGCCATTGTATTATTCTTGTATATTATAATATTATTATTAACGTCGCCACCACCACTTCCACCACCACCACCGCCGCCGACGCCGACATCACCGAACACCACCACCGCCGCCGCCACCGCTGACAGAACCTCGCCGCGGGCTAAATACACCTCCGTAGCACAGCACGGGATTTTCATACACCCTCCGAGGCGACGGGAGCGAGAGAGACGGAGAAAAACAAAAATAATAAATACGGAGAGCACCTGGTTTGACGATCGCCGCCGCCGCCGTCCGTCGATCGTGACGATAGATCATTTTTAACGAGTCCGGCGACGTCCCTTCTCCGAAAACCCTGTTATTCCTCTGCGAAACCATAGCCGGTGTGTAAAATCGCGTATCGCTTCGAGTCGTAATCGCTGCGCGCAGGTCCGCTAGCCGTCATCTCGCTTAATACGAGTATATTACGTCGTGCGAGCGACATAAATCATAAGTATAAGGTGTCCGAGCCTCGCCCGTCCGCGCCGCAAAGTCACGTAGCGATAATAATAGTACGGCTTAAAAAGTATAATATATATACATCGTCCGCTCGATCGCTAGCGAAACGTGCGCCACGCCGCCGCCGCCGCATGGCTCGTCTACCGGCCGTGGCGTTGTACTTGCTGCCGCTGTGCGCTACGGCCGTGGTCGTGTGCTCGCTCAAGCACAAGCAGCAGCAGCAGCAGCTACAGACGAAAAAGGACGACCTGTCCCTGTGGATCGACGAACAGCAAGTGAAAATGTACAGTGGTGAGCATCGACGACGATTATTATGTAAAACAACCCTGTGCACACTCAATTTTCCTGACGATTTTTGTGAATTTTTTTATATACTCGTCTTACTTACACATAATTGTATAAGTACTTAAGTACTTATATAGATTATAACACGACGTGTCGACATAATATGTTATTTTGCAAACAGATCTGATTTTTTATGTTTTTTTTTTCTTCTTATCGTGGTGATTATATTTACTCTTTTTGAGTGGCTACAGCCCATATTTTAAATTATGAATTCTGAAGTAGAATATTTCCCTGAACATGATAAATACATGTATGCATCGAATGTTAAACCAATATTGGTTTTTCATTATCGCTTAAAGTTTAGATAATATGAAGAGTGAAGTGGCAAAACCGCAGCTGTAGCTATAGGAGACACCCCTCGAAATTGTGATGCACCACTTCGTTTATGGTTTATCTAAAATATTATAAGTGCGTATAAATAAGAAAAAATAATGTTTGATTGTTCGATATTATACATACATCGATATTTTCAGATAAATATTCTGCTTAAAAGTTGTTAACTACAACTATGATTTATGAAAAAATAATCCGTGACGAAAAATAGTAGGTACCTATAGTCAATAATAATTAGATTGTAAACTGAAGATTAATATTAAACGTAATTCAAAAATAAAACGTAAAACAAAACCTTTTTGCTCTTACAAAATCACAAAAATTGACTCAGAAAACAAACGTGGCATGCATCCTGAATCATTCTGCATAAAAAATAACCTCTAGCATAATACCGTATAACATCATTTTAAGGGTTAATTTTTTTACGTTAAATCTCGAGAAATGTTGTGAGCGTGGTGGATAATTTATTTATTTTATTTATTATAATTTTTGAAACTATCCTTATCATATTTTATAAGTAGACTTAAAAGCATTGTAAAACTTTTCTACCAGTTAAATTTATAATTATAATATACCCCTCATATTATGAGAAGTATTAATATTAAAATGTACATTACCATTTTGAAATTGATATACTTTCTAACTTTCTACAGTATTAATGTTGGATTGTTAAAAAGAGCATTTTTTCAAATATTTGTATAATATGCGATAGTAATAATAGTGGAATAATAATTTTTTTTTATAATTATTTTAAGCTTATAATTTACTGGAGAAAAAAAGATAACCTAAAAAATTATTTTTCCAGATTCCACTACTTTAAACTACTCGTGTTATATTGTTATTATATTTAGGTGCTCACAGTTAGCCGGTCGGTTTCTAATAATCGGTTTATCTTTATTTGTATCAACATTTTCTGTAAAATAATTGACTTTCTGACTTTCTGTTTTGGGATGACATTTGAAAACCAAAGTAAGTCAATGATTCTCAACCTTTTTCTGCTAATAACACTCTTGGGGCTTATCATAACATCCCGAGGTACCCAGTCATAGGTGCAACTTGTTGATCGAAATTTTTCCAAAGCTCCCACATAATAATAATAATATATACATTGAATATTGTATATTATTGGATGTCTTCTTAATTGAACAATTGGAAAAAAAGTATGCTGCAAGACTGTTTTTAAAATGTAGCTATTCTCATGGATGTATTATACGGGAATAACGTTTTATATTCACAAAATCATAATAATGTTTATAAATAAATGCGTATACGGAGTAAGCAGTGGGTACACTTTGAATGGTGGTACAATGTTGTATTATTTGTTTTATTCCGTTTTAAATTGTATTTTTTCTTTTTAAATTCTGTGATTATACGTGGTGCACCATATCACCACCATACCACACGAGAACCATACAATGTAATCATAAATATAGCTGATGTGTAAATAGATCGACTGCTTAAAATAGGTATTTACAGTGGATAAAAAAATATTTATATTATCCATATTATATGCCATATATGAATAATTTGTTCATTATTCTTTTTTTTTTTTTCATTAAGTGTTGTTTGAGTAAAAGTATGTTTTTTGACTAATTTGGTAAGGCAGGTAGAAACATTTCTTTTGAGATAATTTTTGGAAAATATGTCGTATACTCAAAACATTATTTACCAATACACCTCTGGCTATTCTAAATATTGAAAGAGATGTTATCATTTTAATAAATATACATCTGAAATATATAATTTATTAAACAGGAAATTGAAATTTGTTGATTAAAATACATATTTATATAAATACTTAGGTGTTAATGTAAATTTATATTTATTTTAAGCCACTTAGAAAAAAAAAATAGAATTGACTATAAAAATGGGATACAAATATGCAATTATTTAAATATTATAATTATAAGACATAGGATAGTACATTGTTTAAAATTAAAAACGTAGATCTCCTAAGGAAGCTACAAAAATCATAAATACTCACTTTGAAATATTATCCTGTATTTTATGTGTGTAAAGATAATGCATGACGTAGGTATACGTGTTTGAAATTAATGGTACCTACTGGCTACCTACTGATTGTTATGTATAAACATATTTGAATAATGTTTAATATAGTTTTAACACTAATAATATACCTAATGGCTAATATAAACTGTTCGTGTAAAACCTGAATTTATTAACATTAAGTATTAGTTATTACTAATTTAGATTACTCTCCTTTTCAAATGAATATCTTGCTAAGAATTATAAATAAAAAATTGAATTATGAATTTATATGACTTATATGAGTAGCCAGTGGGTATAAATGTATAATGTATTGATTACTTTTTTTATGACGTTATATAACAATAGATAATAATTATTTACAATAAAATATAAAACATGAAGGTACATTATAAATAAGTAGGTATACTATTATCAATCATAAATTACATCAATAATCACTTAAATATTATTGCCATGTTCAATATTCAATAATATAAAATAGTAATAAAAACATACTATAATACAATTTTCTGTGTCATATTTTATCACTGCCAAAAACTACATAAAACAGTATATATTTGAGTATACCTAAGTACCTACATTAATCGTTTTTATCAAAGAACTTTTTATAAAGGTTCAATGAACAATAATAAATTTAGGTAATTTTACAATGAACGTGAATACAAATATTTTTAGAAATTATAGATACACTATACTATAGGTAGGTACAGGAATATAGGATATACTGGCTACTCTACAACTTTTTAATTATATTCATGTACCAATAAGCAATAAATATTGTTCAAGGACGCACGTTTAAAAGGTGAGTTCAGAAGTAATAGTTTTTTGTCTTTTAATCTAAGTGAATTGTTCATAACAATAATGTTATGTACCTATAAAAATAATAATTACTATTTATATTTAAACAATACTATGTTATAATACGTACTTTTTTTATAAACACATAAGACATACCTATTGTACATATCATAGATTAATAGATATCAATTACCTATGGCTATTTATGTGATATAATAATGATAAGAATTTAGAAATATAACACTTAATTGATATTTATAGTATTTTCGTTTGACTGTTTCATTTTTTATCATTTGTTTTCTGATACCCAAAAAAAAGATTTAATTTCTCAACAAGCTCATTTCCGGTTAAAAAATTCTTGCTCTTATTAACTTATTAAGTTTTTTATTGTCTAATTCGTTTTAAAATACTTCAACACATGTTTTCTTTAATTCGACTAATTATCCAAAAAGTAAGCCCATTTATCGTATCTCGATTCGTGAATTTAATAACTTATATCCTTCATTATGTTTTTTCATCATATTATATTAATTGCATTATATTAAATTTGTTTTTATATTGAACAAAAAATAGTTAGGTTCTTAAAAACACTTAAAAGCCTATGGAAGGGTAATTTCCTGTATTGTGTTAAAAAATATGTGACCCTGGATCCGTCCCTGTGGTCCATACTCTATTCCAAATAAGATCAGGCTTCGGCGGCGGCCAGTTTTCGTTTGGCGACGGTCAGATGTCGTCCCCACTACGGCGGCGCGTAATGCGCTGTCACCGAACAAAGACACGCCCATGCGCACAACTCAGGGCCTCCGAAGCCTGATCTCATTTGGAACAGAGTATAGCATAATATGATCTAAACGTCCCAATTTTTTTATATTTTTAGATAATAAGTTGTGTCCGGATCAAAAAAGTCAAAAACCGGTCATGACCTTTAACTTTTTTGTCACAGTAAACCTTTTTCATAACCTAGTGAGGGCGTAGACCGTTTGGGATGAATCGACCCAAAATGTGTCTGTTTGGGCTAATAATAAGTTATAGGTACACTTACCGTTTGGGTGAGTGCAGTTTATTCCATCAAAAATACCGTTAGGACGAAATATGAGTTGGTTTAAGTTTAGGTAAATTTATTTATACATATTGTAATGTTGTACGCCTAGTACTAATGTACATCGTCAATTGAAAGAATACAAATAATAAAATAAAATCCAATACAATATACATAATTATAATAATTAATAATGGACCCTAATTTTAAATATATACTGCAGGTATAGTAATATTGTAATATGGTAATGTATTGTTAACAAATAATAATTACAAAATTATATTATAAATACATACCGCATATGCCGGTAAAAATAAGTTTAATCGCCTGAATGGTTTAAATCTGGGGTCGGGCCGGGGGCCTTCATTGTAATTTGATGTGGCTCGCAAGTAAAATTTATAATTTGTATCAAAATCACAAACTAAGATAGGATATTTGGTATGAATATGAATTGAAAGCGGTTTGATTAACCTAACAGTTAAGAATTTAAATAAACCTAATTTGATACTACTATACATTTCTGTTTAAAATAAAATAAGGTATATTCAAATAATTGTAGCCCGTGAAAAATGTTATATTTGTATTTTGGCCCTTCACTTCAAAAAGGTTTCCGACCCCTGGCAAACGCTCCCAAACTCACTATTTATTTTTTAGTAAAAATAATAACATTCATCCAAACGAAAAACGCCTCAAGTTCCATCCCGATAGTCGACTATTTGAATGCACTTCGTTAATATACGATATATCCGACTTTTTACATACTACTAACTGTATTCTATAGTTATGTAAACAATTAACTTATTATACTTCAACTAAATATTGTATAGACTATTAAGGTATTACATAAAATTTAAGGTGCGTATATATGATATATAATATATATACGTATTTAACAAATACTAGAAATAGTAGTTTATATTTATATACCTACAGAATAATATGACTGAAATGTAGGATGAGTGATGATTACGATGTCAATTTTATATTCTTATGTTCTTATCTAATGACTGAAATATTTATACTGTAGATAGGTACAGTAGAGTAACAAATAACAATTTATACAATTGATTTAACACTCTAATAACGTAGTGAACGACATGTCGATATTAATGTACAAAAAAACTTGTTTATACTTAACCGATACCTAGCTAACCTAACCTAAATTCCCAATGTTTCATTCATTTATAACGCTAATCAACTCCAAATTGTGATATTTATATGTAGATTATACATTAATACGAGATCCACGATACAATTTTGAAAAAAACCCTTATTTTGTAAATAATTTTTTACATGAAGAAATAAAAATAATACATTTGGTGCTTGATAATATAATAAATCAATAATAACTTTCGATTCATATCGAATATCAATTTTAGGGAAAAGGAAATTATAGATAATATAATAATGATATAGCCGACTTGCGGCCCTTAAAACGGAATGCAAGTTACCGATCGAATTTACTAGATGAAAAATATTCCTTTCTAGGGATGCCAGTATTTTTCTGTCAGACAATTGTACAGTGATAAATTTAAGATAATACATTATATTTTATGTGGTAATCAAATTTTAAATGATTAACTTGTCAATTTTTCATTTTTCATTTTATTAAACAAATATTTAAGTCTAATATAGGTACGTAACTATAATATAGATCCTAAATACACGATTTTCAACTTTCCGGTTTTTAAAAGTTAATAAATAGATGAACACGTGTCTCAAATAAAATAAAATTATGGAATATTATTATTCCACAATTATCTTTTATTTTGAATCTTTTACAGTTTATTTTATTGGTACGATTTATACCACTGTTGTAATGTTATTATATCGATATTTGTCAAACATATTATCGATTTAACATTTTAAAGGTTATATTTATATATTCTAATATTTTAAATTCTAATATATATTTAAGTTAAAATATATAAATCTTGATTGAATTAAAACAGTGAATATTAATAAAATACCTATATAGTATAATAGTATATAATAACATTTTGTTGAGGACAAAAAATATTTTTATACATTTATAATGTTATTTTTTCAATTCTTTATATTATAAATGCATTTATGCACCAACCACGGTTAAGTCACCTACTCATTCATATAATATATTTCGGTTATGTATAGCTTTTGTAATTGTAGGTATTTGAATTTGCTTATATTAGACAATTTCTTAAATAATAAGAATAACTAATAACATCTATTCTTGTATTTCTTCTCATTGATCATGCCTCACCTTGAAAATTGTATGTTTAAAAATTGCTTTAATACCGGCTTCATTAAAAAAAATGAATATTTTCTATGCATGCAGATAAATCAGACATGTATATGCCTTGTAAATCTAATGCATTCATCGCTACACTCAGAATCTAAAAAAGTATAATTCGGTTGCTATGGTAACCTAAATTTATTAATCATCTGTTGCTAGGGGTAAACTAGAAACGTATTATAACCTTAATATTATCTTTGTCATTGTTTCGTTGTCATGGCAACTGTTACGGTAACGCTCTCCGTGTCGCACAAAATTATTGAATGACCCCCAGCCATAAGACAAAAAAATCTAATAATAATAATGTGCCAGGGCTGTCACTGTCATAAACACTTTTATAATATTTTTCTATATGAATAAAATAAAAAAAGTTATTTATATTTAATAAGTTATACTCGATTATTAAATAGATTAAATATAATATGCATGACGTAACATTTTTTTGTTTGTAAGGGGGGCGTCACCTCTCACGAGTCACGAATTGAAGAATAATTTAAATTATTGATCCCCTCGAAAATTATTAGCTACATTTAATAATCATCTAGATATCGGTTAAAAGTTTTGTGGACAATGGTAAAATTAACTACGAATTTTTAATATAATAGCAATAAAAATATAACATTAAATATACAGAGTACCTAATATTAACAGACCGTTTTTGCTCAGAATCGTTTTTCGTATACAATGATATATCATTGAATTCAAAATCAACAGACTGTATTACATTTTTATGTTATTTTATAGACTAAAACATTTTTTTATCGACAATAATTGAAAAAAACTAAATGAATATCAAAAATTTTTCATGCTTGTAAATTGCTCAGAAAGATCAATATATTTTTTAAATGTTATCATGTACCTACCTATATAAAATGCATTTATAAACATTAAGTGAAAATTTCAAGTATCTAGGGTTATTTGTCAAAATCTGATTTTATGTAAAAATTGCAGTTTTCCTTAATTTGTATTTTCCAATTATTTAGAAAAGTACTTTGAATTTTTAACTTTTAACCTCCAATTTACCAACTATATCCAATTTGACCAGAAACTACCATCAAAGTTGAAAATTGAAGCAATGTTACTGACCCAATAGGTGAAAATAAAAACACATCATTGTAAAATCATTACATTCGTCAAGCCCCGTTCAGAATCTAAAATATATATTAAATTTAAAATACCTAGGTTTATTACGGTATACGGAAAAAAAAACCAAAGTGATTATATAATCAACATTTTTTGAAACAAAAGGTTGAGTTATCTTATTTGTAGTTCTCAGAATAGCCGGACAATTAAGTGAACTTTTTTTTGTACATCTCCATGTATAATATTGTATTCCGGCATATTTTAAAGTATACATATGACCTTTGTGACAAATCTTATCTGCACCCTTATTTGATTTAATAATTTTAATAATTTCCATATTTTACACTATTAAATCCAGAATTTAAAAAAAAAAACAATTTGTAGGACAAGAACACAATACAGTAAACTAGTAAAGTCACAGTCATCACAATGATCAATAGTGTATTTTTATATGATCTTCAAGTTTCCCCTATTTCAACTATAAATCTTGACAGATTGACAGATTAACTTGTCAAACTTGTCTGATTATATTGTTGAGTTATTTTGATTTTTGAAACCAATATAGTATATATGTACAGGAAATTTCTCAAACTAAAATGTATGTAATAGCAAATTAAACTAATATTTGTATATACATAGTGATCGTAACTTATAATTTATATTCTATCAATCATTTACTTATGCTCATTTGTATACATTTTTCTCAATAAAAATATAATTATAATTAATTGTATAATATTTGAATGTATATTTAATCAATACATAATTTTTATAATATTGATAACACAGCATAAGGATTGTACACAGATATCTATATTATGTATAATATAGATATCTGTGGGATTGTATATTATATTTTGTGATAATGCTAATTCTCTGATTATATTATCACTTTGGTTTTTTTCCGTTGGTTTTTTTTACTGTTATTTTTTTTCTTTTAGTTTTTTTTTCCTTGGTTTTTTTTTCGGGATTCGTTTATTACCTATCTTATGATACATCTAGGTATATCTTAATAGCAATTGATTCCTGGAAGTGCAACATAATATATTAAAATAAACATTTAAAAAGATTTTGTCAGGGGTTTAAATTTACTTTTAAAAGTTAACTAAGATTTTATTTGAGTTTAATTTGATTTGCATTCGTAATAAGTTAGATTTATTTTAAATCTTAATGCAATGTTCACTGAAGAGTGGTCATCCAAAGTAAACGGTTCGAGTCATTGAAACGTCTAGAAGCTGTCTAAAAAACGTCAACACACCTACATATCTATAGTATAAAACCTTCAAGTACCATTTTTTCAGGTCTGAAAATGCCGATATATGCAATTATGGAAGGTAAAGTCACGCCGTACATTTTGGACAAAAATTTTGAACAGTACTTGCCAGTCATTCCATCTGAGGTAAACGACGAGAATTATGAAATTATTATTGTTCCAAATTTCTATTTACGTTAATCACACACAGGTGGGTTATGTGAACTTCACATGGATGTCTGGAAATAAGAATTATTTTTACGTGTTTGACACACTTGATTCGGACGACAAAAACATACTGGAACCACCTACAGTTACCGTGAAAATCGATGGGAAAATACCCAAGAGACCCAAAGGTAAAATAAATGTTTATCTTTTTAATATTATATTATACACTAAAGACTGTCTAACGTCCAATTTATACAACTATTATAACTGGGTATGTAGTGTGCTATTAAATTACTCTATAAATAACGACTTCTTAGTTTTATGAACTATAAAATCAAAACAGCTGTTACCACGTGTTAAAGATATAAATCCTTTGAAATATACCTACAAACACACAATAGTATATAATATAAAATCAGTGCCGCAACTACAACTAACTACAGCGTATATAGGTGCAGGTGGTGCATCCTTTTAATGGGCCTCAAATTTATGTACCGAGGTCTAGGATTTTATGTCATGCATATTTTCAACGAATCTTATGTAACAGATATATCATATATTTATATAAAATGTACACATATTTAATTATAACGTGTTAAGAACATTAAGAGGACGTCACACCCGCATGTGTTGTCTACTTGTCTCCATATGACAAATGTACAACATAGCAAAAACTAAAACTATTTTGGGCTGGACAACTTTTCATATTTGTTGTAGAACTACCTCGAGAACTACCGAATTTTCAAAACACGTAAAGAAGAACTTTATCTCTTATGCTTTTTTTTTAATAGCACTATCCAATCATTTTTTATAAGCAAATGAAAAAAAAGAAATGTTTAGAAGCAAATAACTTTTATTGTATTTATCTTATCTAAAATATAGACACGCTGTTTCATAAATATAATTGTCTACCCTATATGTTCATACATTTTTGAGCCACTACTACGAACACAAAAAGATAAAAGTTGTTCTGCGTTCTGCCCAAAACCGTTTTTGCTATGTTGTACATTTGTAAGACGAAGACAACACATGCGGGTGTGACGTGGTCCTCTTAAGGGCCCGTTTTACAATAGTTAAACCAAGGTTAAACCGTAGAATTCGGCTGGTAAAATCAGTGGGTTAAGCGTAACCGAGGTTTAAACTTTAAACTATGATTGTAAAACGGGCCCTAAGGGCCGTTCTTACAATGTCCGGTAAAGTGTCGGTTAACGCTAACCGACTGATAACAGATTTTATTACTGGCAGAATTCTTCCGGTTAAGTGTCGGTTAACTTTAACCGGACATCGTAAGAACGGCCCTAAGTATATTAAAACATTTTACCTACCCAACAATAACTCTCATACAAATTAAGAAGAGTGTTATATTCTTAAAATATTATACGTATTGTACTTGTGTGGTATGAACAGGGGCTGTATTGGACATTTATTCACCTGGGAAACACATTTTAAAAATAATTGCCACCTCGATCGACAATTAGTTCAGAAACCGAGATACACCGACGTCGATTATCCCTTAAACTGAGGTACACTAAAACCAGTTCAACCCCCCCTGAAAATTAATAGTTGTGTAATTTCGGTGCATCCGAATTGCATGCCAAAAAAATATATATAAATCGGGTCGTCCGAATTGCATGCCGTCTCTTGGAGGGGTCTGTCCGAATTGCATGCCGTCTCTTAGAGGGGTATATCCGAATGGCGAATACACAACTTACTTTTCAACTGGAGGATCGGGATTTTGTTACATTACAATAAAACATATAAATATTGTAGAAGGTGACACTGTGAATAAGAATCATAAAAATATAAAACTATTTTTTTTTCATCGACAACAAAGGCTATTAGTTAAATAAAACTATTGTAGTTTAGGCCTTAGGGTAATCAAGTGAATGTATTTTAAATAATATTATTTTTAAATTTGGTGGTTTTTTTTGACATTTCGGGCACACAATATTACAATTTAAATAAACAAAATAATATATAATAATAATTCATAATAATAAAATATTATTAATCTGTTGTGAAACAGACCGATACCACAATACACTACATTACTCCAATATAGATACTGTTTGGGAAAATATTTACACGGATATAAAAATATTTCAATCCAGAAACTAATCACTAAACAGTTGTAACAACCATACATAAAAGAGCGTTTCTATACATGCATTTTTTTAAAAAAATTAGGAAAGTCAAAAAAAAAGTTTAAGTTGTTTAAGGGCATAGTAAATAAACGTGTGGTGTACGGCATGCAATCCGGACAAAGCCCTACAAGAGACGGCATGCAATTTGGACATTTTTATTTTTTGGCATGCAATTCGTATGCAGCCTGTAATTTATTTATATATACCTATAAACTATAACCCCCCCTGATTATTTTTTTGTGTTCGTGCCTGCTGGTAGCTAGAGGGTAGATGGCTCACCCATGAATCCTCGTAAAAGATAATATTTCTTTTGTTTGTTTAAATAGTAACCATCATTAGTTGTAATTGTAATAATATAATATTACGATTTAATTAGTAGAAATATGGCGTATACATTTTTTACAAATAAATAAACCCTTTATCATAGGCAACGCCAGTTGGGACAGACATAAATAATTACATTTTCGTTCAAAACTGCGCATGGGAGAAGTATAATATAAACTAAAAAAAAGAGAGGTGGGGATTAAACACCCAACATCCTCTGGCTACGCCACTGACTTAATTATATTATTATAATATAATGCATCGGTTACAATAATGGGCAACCCTAGATATTCGCGTAATCGGTTGGAAAAAAAAGTTGTACCCTGCCCAAAAACATATCTATATTAATAATAAATAATAATAAATATATATGTAAATATATTTTTTTTTGATACAAATATTAATACAGACAATAATATATCAGTATAATTAATATACCTCCCCCTAAATGGACTAAAAAAATTCAACTTGTGGCTAGGGCTGTAAAGTACACCCCCCCTCTAAATACAAAACATAGAGTATGGATAATTTAATAGTAGTCTGACAAAAAAAATATGTAACACGGTTGAAATATACAAGATTATTGCATTGATACCCCCCTCTCAATCAAATATTTGATGATAAAAACAAACATTTCAGCGTAAAGGGAGCCAAGAATAATCCAACTATACATGCGCAGGAATTTTGAATTTATTTGCTTTTGCTAGCGTGTATTTGATGGTAAGAAAAAGTGATATTTGTGAGATCCCTTTACGCAGGCATTTTGTACCTGATTATAACAATCCGAGTCAATAGGCAATAACCTATATATTTCAACCATGATATGTACGAATTCATAACATCAAACACTAAACAGAAATATTGCTATTCCTACTTGATACCACGTCTTGGCGAAGACAAAAAAAAAAGGCGAACAGCTCAAAAAGAGTAAAAATATTATAAAAATTGTATGGTGTATAGAAAATAAAAATATAAACATTCAGTGAAATTTTCAAGTTATTCATTTTTTAATTACAACAAAATAAGAAAATTGTTATATGAGAAATCGAATGAATATCAAATGTTGTAAAAATATGAATTTCAAACGCTCATAAAAATGTAATTTGACTTTCTTGTAGAAATTTTTTTTTTTTGATAAAGGTAGACAAACTTATGAGGAATCTTTTATTACATTTTAAAATCTTAGATTTAAAAAGAAAAGTTTTCATGAATTTCTAACTCAAAATAACTTGCAAATTGTCGTCTTGTGACTGGATTTTTATTTTTTTTCATCTGCCTTTGAAACAATATACTAGGAGTCTTCTATTAAATTTTCAAACTTTTTTAACCAACAAATATAATTTTATTGATATTTGTAGAAAAAAAAACTAAAAAAAAAAAAAAAAAAAAATGTCCGTAAACAGCTTATAACAAGTCAAAATATTTGGAAAATGTTATGGTGTATAGGAAATGCTAATATAAACATTCAGTCAAAATGTCATGTACCTACGGTCATTTGTTTAAGAGTTGCAACAAAAACCAAAATCGATATTTTCGAAAACAGATTTTGGGTACAAATTCCCGTTTTTCCTTAATTTTTCTTTTGTTTTTTACGTCGCTTTTAAAAAATACTGGGACATTTTTACTTTTGACCCCCAAAGTACCAACTAGATTCACTTTTCTATAGCAGAAAAGATACTGCTGAAGAAAATCCAAGCACTTTTACTGTCCTAAAAGGTGATGACAGACACAAAAAAATTAAAAATTAAAAAAAAAACACATATCATTGTAAAATCAATACATTCATTGCTCGGCTCAGAATCTAAAAGTGTTGACACGATATACGTTTTTATTTATCATATAAATAGCTATGATAGCTCAATAATTATTATAATATAGGTACAAGATGGGACAAAAACAAATATATTATAATATAATAAAACCAATCAATTATATACCTATGTTATTTATAGATACTATACTGCATAATACTTTTTGGTAAGTTCTTCGTGTTGTCCGCCGCTGCCGCAATGGTGTGCTTATGGAATTTCTATAAAAACCGAAAATATCAAACAATGCGTCGACCTGTTGCTGTGACTGGTTGCCTATTTTTCCTATTACACACTTTTTAATGTTTAGTACAGCACCGTCAGCACTATAATACTAAAATACGTGTGACGCTGTCATACTGCAGTTATATTTAAATAGTCATTTCACAATTTATAATTTCGACCTACACTATACGACTACCCGTAATGAATTTCACTATTTCAGAGGCGCAACTAGAGGGGGAGGGAGCAATGGCCCTCTCTGACTACGATTTAGCCCTCCTAAAAATATCCCTTTTTAATTTAAATATAAGCCCTCTATGGGTTATTTTAAATTAATAGTTTTTTAGGTGGGCTGGAGCCCAGCATTTTAACCCAAGTTGCGCCTATGATGAATTTCTTTTTGCACAAAAATAAGCCCTGTTTAATATATTGTTTTGCTGGACGGCAAATCCCAAATAATCCTGTCTTCCCCTTTGTTATAGCATATAGCACTATATTATACCAAATTTCAAACCGTCACCCTTTCGACCATTCTTCTACACACACATGTACGTCTGTCATAAATATGATGTGTATTAATATATAAAATGTGTATTAATGTATTAATATTAAATATGTATTAAGTAATACACTTCCTTATATCCCCAATCTTATTCTTATTCTCTCTCAATTGATCCTTTTTGTTCTTTA